AGTTAGTTAAGTCGTTATAACAAGTTAGCTAAGTTGTTAGCTAAGTCGTTACAACAAGTAAGCTAAGTCGTTATAACAAGTAAGCTTAGTCGTTACAACGACTTAAAAATAAAACTCCAATCAAATAAAAACCAAAAAACTGCTAATTTTCCTTAAAATTACCAATTCAGGGGCAGCAATCCCAAAACATGTTGTCTGATTTGTCTGAAAAATTTCGGACGGATAGATTTTGACCTGATGAACATTTTGACCCCCTGTCAGATTGGCTCTAAATGCTTTAGTTTCAGAAATATAAGCCAAAATCTACATTTTACCCCAAGGTTCTATTTTTATACAAGGCGACCATCTTGATTATTGGGCGGGGTCATCGGATACTTTTTTAAAACTAGATACCCTAAAGATGATTTTGGCCATATCCGCTTTAATTTTGCCAAGAATTTCAGAGGAGAAGATTTTTGTAAAAGTTAACGACGACAACGGATGCCAAGTGATGAGAAAAAGCTCACGTAGCCCTCTGGTCCAGGTGAGCTAAAAAAGCAAAACGGACAAAAAGCAACGGACAAAAAGCAAAAGTGTCGGACAAAAAGCAAAATTATCGGACAAATAGCGAAACGGACAAAAAGCAACGGATAAAAAGCAAAAATGTCGGACAAAAAGCAAAATTATCGGACAAAAAGCAAAACGGACAAAAAGCAACGGACAAAAAGCAAAAGTGTCGGACAAAAAGCAAAATTATCGGACAAAAAGCAAAACGGACAAAAAGCAACGGACAAAAAGCAAAAGTGTCGGACAAAAAGCAAAATTATCGGACAAAAAGCAAAAGCGGACAAAAAGCAAATTGCGGACAAAAAGCACCGTATCATACGATGTCTGATTTATATTGCGTTTTGTTTTAAAGGTCTTTGTATTATCTAATAAAAACAAATGTCCTTTATTATAAATCAAGCAATCGAAAATGTATTCCTTCCATAAAACGCAAAAATGTATGATCTAAATATTGACAATTTCAGGTCTTTTCCGATTCATATTCGATTTACCTGGCACAGTTTAAACTGGTAACCTTGACCTTTTCAACAACATTTGAGTTCAAAAATTGATAACCAAATGACTTCAATACCTCGAGCCTAAATCTACGAACTGAAAACACACTGTCGTTGAAACAAATCGGATTAAAAAACCTTTTCGAGTCTTTGTCTACTCATACTACATCTTTTGTCAAATAAACTCCCTTCCCCATGTTACTTAGAGCATCTTTTATGGAATGTTTTATTGTGACTGTTTTGCTGAGTGTGAATTCGCATTGCTATAAGACGAGTCATGGTATTTTTCTATCCAAAATTCGTGTATTTAGTTTTGATGTTATATTCGTTATTGTTAAATGTCTTCTCGTTTGTAGTTGTAATTCTTACTTTTGTCTGTTCTAGTCGTGTGTGAGGGTAAAGATAATTTATCACCCAGTTCATTTATAAGATTTTAGTTTGGGTCAACTAAACTTACACTATGTATTTGGTTTTCAGTTTGATTTAGAAGAAATACTGGCATAGCTAGATAATACAATTAATTATCTAATTACTTACACAATTTTATATTAATAAGTATTGTAATGTTCATTGTTATTAAATACATGTAATATCACTTACAAACCTAATCTCGAACTCTATCCTTTTTTTTGGAAATTTTTAGAAATTTTCCTTTGACGTCACTTTTGTGCGTCGATCTATTCGGCTGCCATACAATGCGTTGTTCGGCTGTGCTGTGTTTGTGTGCTGACCTAGGTTGTTTTACGTATTCGTTTTTATTTTGTAGTTAGTCACCACTTCTGTGTTAACATGTATATCAATTATATGGTCATTTTTATAAATTTACTGTTTGCCAAAATTTGAAATATTCTACATACTAAGGATTTTCTTATCCCAGACAGATAACCGTAGCCGTATTTGGCACAACTTTTTGGAATTTTGGGTCATCAATGCTCTTCATCTTGGTTTGGCTTTCTTTGCTATTTTGACCTGAGCGTCACTGATGAGTTTTATGTAGACGAAACACGCGTCTGGCGTATTAAATTATAAGCCTGGTACCTTTAATAACTATTAGCTTGTCGTAATATTCTATTGTATTGTTGATTTGTGTGTTTCTCTGTCCTTTATGTTCTTCCATTTATTTGTAGTGTAGTCCTGTCATGTAATGTTGTAATTGTAGTATTATATTTAACATTGCCATTAAAGTGGGAGATTTGGCTAGCCACAAAACCAGGTCCAACCCACCATTTTTTCTGAAAATGTCCTGTACCAAGTCAGGAAAATGGCTATTGTTATCTTCTCCTCCCTCCTTTTATTACGGATTACTCCTGCGTAAATGCATTATCCAGTACCAGATATTTCTTCAAAGTTCACCTGCAGTATATATATTCAGTACATGTTTCTGTGTTTATACTTTAATGCATTAATTATTGCTTCTGTGCTAGAAATATTTTTGCAATAATGTATTTACTGATTGTATGTGAGTGATTTTTTTTATGTGTTTGACAACCATATATATTGATAAACCCAACCTTTTATTTTTCCGCATACGTGAAACATTTTCCCCCGTATATGCAATATTCTATAATTATACTATCAGCCACCTATTTTGTATTTGATGTGTGAATAGATTTGATTTGATTTGATTTTTGGTGTTTTAACTCCACTTTAAAGCACCGTTTTTGGGCTATTTCGTGGCGGCCAGTTTTTATTGGTGGAGGAAGCCGGAGTTCCCGGAGAAAACCACAGACCTTCGATAGGAAAACTGACAATCCTAATCAATTAAGATTGGAGTCAAGTGCACCCACAAGAGCGGGGTTCGAACTCACAAACTCAGTGTTGACTGGCTAGTGATTACAGTAGTAACTACTTAGACCACTCGGCCACCGAGGCCCCTACGAACCACAGAAGGACACTCGTTATATTTGAGACTTTGTGAGCCTTTGAAATTCGTCAAATGTTTTGTAGATTAATGTTACGTCACAAACATCTTGTAGCTTTCATTGTGATTCACGTTATTGAGGAACAAAAACGTTTTTTATCCATTGTGAATTTGTCATATCTATGTAGCAACATGCATGCAGCATATGTATGTGGTGTATAAATCTCCAAGTTGCTTGCTCTCTCGATCACGAATTTCTTGATAGAGGTTTTAATGCTAAGAAGACAGCCAGCGAACTGAGGGAATTTAAAGGTTACGGTGTAGTCATTCCTTCAACGTTGTTTCTGGCAAATGCATGACATGATAGACAGTTATAAAACATTTGTGTCTCAAAAGATGTAATCAGCATCTTCAAAAAGATTTGATGGCTTGTGGTTAAAAGTTACATTTACAGTACTTTTTTCTGCACCAGATGCACATTTCGGCAATGAATGTCTCTTGAGTCGTACTCGAGGCCAAACTAATTGAAATTCCAAAGCGTTTTAAAAATATGAAGGGCAATTATGACACAAAAGTATAGCTAAAGGTGGTTAAAATGGTGATATATATATTCGATATACATGTATATACATGGCAGGAAATATCATATGTTTTCATTAAATTTTATTTAAAGTGATGTGAAGTTTTTACATGCCTCCCAAAAATTTGCCGAAAGTAGAATTTCTATCACTTTTAGTGATACCTTTTCTGAAATCATTTAAATGTATTTTCTTGAGAATCAGATCAAAATCAACCGTTTATTCTTAATATTAAGTGTTGAATAATTTAAAACAGTACAATTTTTTTACTCCCAGTCACATATGCATTTGTCGTTATTCAAACAACGTATTCAAGTTTCGGTTTTAAATGTTTCCAATTTTGTATTTGATTTGTCATTTAAGGGTCTTGATTGGAGAGTCATTGATACGTTTATACAAAACGACAAAGCAGTAGTTTACCTAAATTTTAATCCCAGAAATTGATTAAAAATACAATTGAGGGTATCAAACAAATACTTAGTGAATTGACTTTGATCTAATATATGCGAGACCTGGTTCGTCTACAAGGTAAGCGTCTCCTGCTGTGTATGCCTCCACTACAGGGCAAATATTTACTCAGTCAAAATGTCATAATTGCGAAAAGAACACAATAGGTAAGCCTAATATTGAAAGGTTCGCGTTCGACGACTTGATTCCGTTAAATTGCATCGGAAAGTTCACATGGTTCATGGAAGAGAAATATTGGTTAGCATCTCTGAACCATTGCCGGAATAGATTTTAAAATATGGACCGTCAAATAGAAAATAGCAAACGACTATTTAAAAATCAATTCTGATGTTAATATCAACTTACTTTGAAGGATTTATAACTCTTCTGATATTTTAAAAGAATCTAAACAAAATTTTAAACTATGACCGGAATAGTTGTGATGTTCATATCAATATACTTTGAAGGCTTTTTTACTCTTCTGCTATCTTAAAAGGATTGTATTGCTCAATAGCTTTCAAATAAGGGAAAATAACACGGATCAAAATGTGAAAAAACACTCCATATAGTATGTTATTACCTAAGCACCATTACGGGCGATAAGTGATACTTGCAGAACTGGATATGATTCTTGCTCTAGAGCACATTAGAACATTCCTGTTTTTTTCAAAGGGTTCATGCTTCCTTTCATTTCTCTGTGTAGTGTTTTATAGACTGTCGTTTGTTACTTCTGTCTTGTGTGAACAACATTTTAGTGTTTTTGTTGTGTCGTTGTTCTCCGCTTATATTTGATGTGTTTCCCTCAGTTTTAGTTTGTAACCCGGATTTGTTTTTTCTCAATCGATTTATGAATTTCGAAAAGCGGTATACTACTGTTGCCTTTATTTGACGGGTTTCCTTCTGAATATTTATCGTCTATTTGGCATCTTTTGCCACTATTTATGTATTTGTTTGTGTATGTAAAATGTAATATAAAATGCTTTGAAATCAACCTCTAATATTCCTTGTACTTAACGTAATGTGGTATAGTAAGTTATTAGCTCAGATTTTTCAACTTGCAGTTCCCGTAAAACTTGTTAACATTAACAAACAGCCTGATCAAACACAATATGACAGAATGATGGACAATTTAACATTAACTTGTAAAGGAAGTGGAAAGCCTGAACCGACATACGTATGGTTTAAAAAAGGACAACAAGAGAAAAATACTTTCAAGAACAAATCTTTATGTTATTGATGATGTTATACGAAATAACAGTGGAGTATACATCTGTGAAGCTTCCAACATTATAGACAACGTAGAGTACAGAATGAATTACTCAGTGGACATTGATATAGGTGAGTTGACTAAACGGCTAATGGTCTGGTAAAAGTGATATAAAATCATATTGACAGCAAATCCCTAATTTGTTAGTAAAAACCCCGCATTTATCATTCGAGAATCGAGTGGAGATAATATATGAGAAAGCCGTCAACAGATATCGCTGCGTAGAAAATAATTCACTGCAGGAGACGACCCGGTAGGAAATTGTGAATTTGTTAAATTTTAGGAAACTCAACGTATCATGAGCGGTAAACATGATATCATTAATGATATATCATGAAAAAGATACAAGAAGTCAAGGTAATATATCGTTGAAAAAAAAAATTCAAGTCATTGATTTTCAGTCGCCATTTTTCAACTTCGACTTTTATTGACAAATTCTCAACTCAGGACGAATTGAATTTTATCCAGGAAAAATAAATATTACTAGTTTGTTTTTATAAACTGGATCATGGAGAACAGAACTGGGATAGTCACATAACATCACCATTGGTTGTGTATACACGAGCACAATTCAGTACACATCACAATTTTGTAAGGCCGTGCATTGACTCCCTATTATTTTTTTTGCAACCGCCGTAGTGGAGTGAGAATTAAGTTTTACCCTTGTCCATCTGTACGTCCCAAAGTTGGTTTCCGTTCTCTAACTTTAAGTTTGAGTTTTGGTGGTGTAAATTTAAACGTTCTTCAGTTATGTCCCTTTATAACTTTATATGATATGCAAGCAGGGACATCATGGTCACATTCCTTATTTATTTCTTAAAACGTCTCTGCTCTATACCAAGGAAAAGACAGTCAACAAGCCATTGCAATTAATAAAATCTGTTATTTTTATTGATGTATTTTTCCTTTTTATGCCTCACTGATTTTTTTGAGTACATGAAATAAAAAATATAAACAAAAGTTGGCAACGTTCTTAAAAATGACACAGATATTCTGAATTCAGCACATTATGCATAATAGAATGTGTCTATAAGCCTCCAAATAATATGCCATAATTAGTGAATTCTTTTTTGGGAAGTACAAGTGTGAATAATGGTTATATGTTAAGCTTGTGACTCCAGTGAAATTTCATCAGATCTGATAAATCATAGATAAAAGATAGAGGAAAAATAGTTAGAACACTCAGATCTTTATTTTGTTCCAAATAGTTGTAATTACAAAGAAGATGATATCACATCATAAAATAATATTGTGTGTGTTCATTCCCTGTTCATCTTTAAGCAATATTTCATGAGCTGTTTTATAGATGGTTGTGCAATCTGCATCCAGTTTATCTAAATCAATCTCTATTTATGTTGAATAAGTCCATTCGTTGTTTACATTTTTTTTCTGCATGTACCTGCATTTGATGAGGATTTACCTATAAGTCAATATGGTATTTTTTTTTATTCTTCATTATTACGCTCTTTAAGTATATGTTACCAGAGATAGTTTTATATGTCTCTAATGTCTAATGGTACAATTTAGACTGAACAAAGCGTTTCATACTCATTATATAATTATTTTTCACATCATATGGCCCTGTTTCATGTTGTGTTTTTTTTTTATTTGATTACATCAATTGATATCCACTGAAAAATAGAAATTAAATTACATAGTATAAATGAAATGCTATTTGTAGTTTTTTTTACAGTATATTGGCATTTTACTTTTATTATGTTTATAGCATGTTTTTGCAGTATTTAGTTATTTGAAATACAAGATTGGGGATAGGGTTTTGAGTTGACAAATACCTGGTTGCTATCAAACGCAGAATACATCCCGTTACTCTTGGCATTTACAATAACTGTTATTGCATATATGTGTACACCTGTTCTTTAAAGTAACTTGACATTTCTTTTGGGGCCAGAATGTGCATTTTTTAAAAATATTTCTATACTTAGTCTGACTCAGAAAAACAAGGTACTAAAATAATTCATTTCCTTTATCTTATCATTAAGCTTTCAATAAATAAAGAAATAAAGGTTTCATTTATTTATAAGAGTTGGAAGTTTTTATTTCTATTGAAAGATATAAAATTTACTTTATCTTGTTAAATACAAATATGACAACTCAAGAGAAGTGTACAAAATGTAAATGGTGGATGTGTATCCATGTCATATGCCAAGCTATATATCTTGTAAGTCCTGACAAGTTCTGAATGATAAAACACAGAAAAATCTACATTATAGAAATGTGGTTTTTTTTTATAATATAATCTCTATTCTTAAATGAATCAGCACACAACACAAAGAAAAAATGTTATTCTAACATTAATTTAGTCAGGAAAGGATTTTATTTTTTACTCAGTCTCTAATTGCCATAATCATATTTTTATTTTTCATCAATCATGTTAATGTTTCTCAATTTCTATAACCTTGTAATATTGCTACTTTCATACACATAGGCATTACTTGTTGGGTTAAGCCTTTCGATAGAGTACCTTGATATTTTCATTTAAAAACAAAACATTGCCAATGTTTATCATTAGACCTCAGATACATAATTATCTAATTATTCAATGTCTAAAAATTTGTAACACCCATTTAGAATGAGAAAAAAACTTCTATCAAAGTTTGAGAAAATAGAGATAAACGAGCAATCAGAGAAAATGCGGAAATATTTTTACGTCTTTGACACTAATTTTACCATTAACTGTAGTATTCTAGTTAAAAAAAGTTTTGTTTACAACTAAATGTAATAATTGGCATTTTCCCTAGCAGTATTCCTCATTCCTAGATTATTATAAGAATTTTGTTGGAATATCTCTATAAAATAGCCATACTTTCTGTAATACTTTCTCTCACAGTTTAGGTCCTGGATCTTCGCAGGTGCCCTCATTCCAATGAGTTATTATAATTTCAACAATATTGTTCATACTTACACATTTTACTATCGCAAACGGATAAATTATTGGATGTTTTGTTCCAGAAAAACGGTTTCCCTCACTGAAACTCCTCCCTCAATTCTAATCAGCCGTCAATTGGACGAATTTTCGTTCGAGTTATCTCCTTTTGGCCGGACGCCAATTGTGACACAGTTGAATTGACAAATGGTTTACCTGGCGACTTTTGGTAACATTGGACATTTCATGTTCATAATATCAGGAGGTATTATCCTTCTTAAAGAAAAAAACGTTACAGTTGCGTGTGGCATTTCAATTAACATATAATCACTGAGAAGTGTCACGGCTGCGGCACGTTTTTTTTTTTATCTTTGCCAATCAAATAATCAAGGAAATTATACATTTTTCTTGTTAAAGGAATAACGGATTGAAGGTTTCAAACCTGCCGATTCGAATGATATATTTGGTAAAGCATGGTAAATACACAAAATATTTTTACACGTCGATTTTGTGGCGTCATTGCCTTTGCTAAAAAATGTTATTTTCTAACTGAAAATCAAGTGACCAGAATAATAAAATTGACGTCATAATCGGATTTGCTGTCCGGCTGATCTAGATTGTACTGTTACCGCGGACTAGGTCAATTTTCTTTGAATTTCATTGATACCTAAATTTTATTCGTTTTTTTACTGACTATTTGAACTTTTTAAAAATCAAAGATAGCATATCGATGTTCAGAAAGGTTTCTAAATGGAAAGGTAAAAAAAACTCATTAAAGATATGAAGCTTATACTAAAATACATCAGACACACATAGTGTATACATAAAAATATACATAAAAACATCAGTCAAATACTAATACCTACTTTTTATAAATGTTATATTATGTCAGAACAGATGACAAATTGACTGTTATTGCTCTTTAGTATGAAACATTCACCAGGACATTGAGAAATGTTTTGTAAATGTCATCACTTTTACATGGCATGACTATGTAAGACTCATTTCCCACGTTATTGTTGCCGCCCGATTCGAAAAGTTGTAGAGCAATGAAACTAGAAGGTTTCATCAGGTGTACAAACTATAGGCTATTTATCCCAAAGGGTTGCAAAGTCTTAGAGCTTCGAGTGAAAGTTATTACATTTAAAAGTAAAAAAACTACCGCAAATAGAAATTCATAGAAGGTAATGACATTCTACACAAAAAAAACTGGATGCAAAACATATCGAAGTTAAAGAACAACACATGTAAAAAATTCATGTTTATGCTAAATTCAGCTTAACTCATAAATGTTTCGGGGAATAAAACCGCTGCGTTTCAAACAAACCGAAAATTTTTACAAAACAGTTTTATCATATCTAATGAACATAATCGTATAAAATCGAATAGTTGGTCATATATCTTAGCTTTATGCTGTGTATCTACTTTTACTATAAGAAATAATCTAGGTATGAGCTAAACAAATTATTTTATATGTCGTATCGTTCATATGAAATACACATGTGACATATGAGTAATCAATTAAAAAGGCTAAGTAATCATTGTTTTTGTCTCACAATTATTTTACTGATCATTGAGCGTAACAATGTTAAACCAGTGGTCTTTTATATAGCACGTTCAGTAGATGACTTATTGATGCCCTTTCATTTTCATCGATCATGCATTTACTTTACTTACAAATGAGTTGGTGTCACCATATGAATCAGATTCGTTGGAGATTTTATTGGGTAAGAATGTTTATTGTAATACTGTTGCATTATGAACACAGGATTTAAGTTTCGAGATATCTCATCTGTTCAGAATAGAAAGAATTGCTTGGATTAAAATTGGGCTTTACATCTGAGTCAAAGTAATTTCTAAAGATCCAAATTGGGACCTCAGTTGTTATGTCTGTGCGTTTTAACCCTTTATTCAGATGCTTTTGATGTTTTTTTTTTTTTTTGGTTGAAAAAAAACCCTTTACAATCAAAATGTATTTTTAAAAGAAGACTATATATACTTTCTCAAAGTTTATCAAAACGAGTCTGAAAATCTAGAAACGTCTTCAGTTCTCGTTTTAAGTTTGGAAGTTGAGTTGAAAAGAACAGTATATTCCTCTATAATAATGATTGCTTGGTTTTTTTTATAAGTATAATATATAAATGTTATTTATGATAAATTTATATGTATAAAATTACACAAATTTAA